CGATGTACACATACCAATGAGCAGTAGAGCTGTAAAAAGATTACGAAACCAACGCAAGCTTGCGATAAGAATATTACGCATCACTTTAAAGGAGTTAAAGCCATCTCCCGTGCAAAGTATTACATCTACAGCGCATACAAGTATGTACAATGCATTATGGGAGAGAGAAAATTCAAATTTTGCATCTACTGAACATATGTACAATGCATTATGCAAAGGAATTACTATTGAATATGAATGACACAGCATATAGTAATCTCATTGGAAGCTTACTCAATTAAATGACAATTTTGAAACAATATCAGGATTCACATTGTGAACACCATAATTTTTTCCACCAAAATTTGGTGCAACATTTTTTCAAATTTTCAAGTATTTTCTATAATTTCTTTGCTATTTTAAATTGATTTATCGCAATTATCCAAACTCTGCCAATAGTTATGCAGGCTTAGTTTGCAAAACACAACTAAAGTTGAAATTAGCATTCAACATTTTGTCATTAACCCTCATCTGGTGAAGACAATGTAAAATTACATGGGACTGGCAGGATAAGGGTTAAACCAAATAAGACACATTGAAATGTTTTCACAAAAGAAACCAATGCAAACAGAAGAACATAATAACATGAAATACTTGTCAAAATTTGTTAACAATTTCAGTGTTTTCCATATCTTGCTTTTCAATGCCATGTTTGAACCATATTACTCAAAGTTGCAAAAGAATTACATTTTATTTAATATAATTTTCACTCTTAGCTGCATAACACTATATAAATATGTGTCAAGGCCACAGAAATTATTGCCAAATGTAATTCTATTTATGTATCATTAACAAGTTACAAGAATTTTAAATTAAATTACTTAGCAGATGTCATTGACACTATTATTAAATAAAATAGCATAACTTTTATTGATACTTTTGTGTTTGACTTGTATTTTTTTGACAGCATACACTAATAACCATAAGAGGAACTAGAATGCAAACATTGGATCAGTTTTTGATTCATTAAAGGATTGTTTATGTATTTATTTATTTATTTATTTATTGACTTTATCCTTTGAGCACTAAAACACTGTTTCTCAAACATGATGAAAAAGTTATTCTACTGAAAGAACAGGTACATTTGTATTTCACCTTGGTAAAATTACCTAGATCTGATTGGAATTGCCTGTAAAAAACACCGCCAATCCAGAGTTGATGTAAATTACTGAAGAATAGTGGACATACAAAAATAGGAATAGCAATGATGGACAAAGTGACAGACCAAGCAATATTGCTAGCTAACCAGCTAGGTACATGTACATTGCTATATTGATGTATGTAGTTTATAATAGTATTACAACAAAGTCAGTTCCCTTCAGACACAGTGACGCCATGCATCTTGCTAAAGTGTCAAAGTAATTAGTCATGCAATTAGGCGTCAGCAAGTAGTAACCTGCACATAAATTCTGATCTAAGATTTCATGTTGAGAGTATCACAGGAAAAAGGTGAGAAAATTTACAACTGTACGTGATGTGGTGAAACCACTTTTCAGTCCACTTGTATGAGATGCCACAAATGTCAGTAAAAGATGCAGTGTAGTGCTTCAAGGGTTGGGGCATTTTTAAGATACCAGCAGAGCAGTTGACCGACAGAAATATGGCATTCTATGAATATATAGATGTAATTTCTACTCTCAATGGTATGGCATCACATTTTTTTTTATGAATACAGTCAGAGTGTGCGGGATCAGCCAGATTTTGAGGTTCAGTAATAGTAACCAGTGGTGCTGACTATTTTAATATACTGAACATCTTAGAGCTACTAAATTGGTTTTGATGAAGTATTGGAGTTGAACAATGATGTTGGCTACTGTTAATGGCAGGCGGTTGTTATGGATAATTGAGAGTTTGATCAAAAAAATCTAGAATGGAAGGTATACTTAGCTTAGTATTTCAGCCAACCTTACAATAAGGTTCCTCTGCCATCTTTAAGTCATATTAGTGTGAAAATGACATTTTCACTGCGATTTACTGAATTGGCCATCAGAGAAGCTCTCGTTAAAATAAAAGGGATTATGGTTATGTGTTTTCATCAGAGTAAATACTTTGTCAATTCAACACCTAAAACCAAATGTATATTTCCAGGGTCAGGGTCAGGGTCAGAGTAACATTTATTAATTATTTCATTACTGGTTAACATTCTCTAAATTTTCTGAATATTAATTAAGTCGTTGATTAGCAAGATAAACTTTCGCAAAACAAACCCACATCAGGTAAATTATGGCCATTTGGTCTCAAACTAATCAAAAAACTACAGAAATACCATAAAATGTTGCAACAAAATTTTGATTGGAAAAATAATGGCTTGCTGAGATTACAAGCCAATTAGTGTATTGGATTTTCATACACAATATTGGTATTGCTTACAACATATTTTACAGCATAGTCCGTCAGAACAGTAAAAAATAACCACGAATGCACATATAAATATCTCAATAACTGCCTCATAATTTACTGGTTACGAAAAGTTAGATGAATACTCCATGGAAACATGCTCCAATTGTTTCACCTTGCTTTGCATCAAAACGGCATGGGACCAGGGGTCACATTTAATATCCGGACTTGTAAAGATTGAGAACTAACTAGGGATGAAAGCAACATACTATTTGTCTTCAGATAATGGAGATGAAAAAGTAATGACGGCATGGATAGAAATTGGCTTCTATGTGTAGATGAAACAAATACAATGTGGTTCAGCTTGTGATCTCAAATTCAAAAATTTTTTAAAACTGCATTTTAATTATATCATCACGGTCTTTTCTATGTTTGGTTTCGTTATTATAATAAGTTTCTCTGAAAATTTTACTCACTTTAAATGATCCTTAAAAGTAACTTAAGTTTGCATCTTCTGAGAAAGTTACTGATCATATGTGCATTGCATTCTGGGAAAGAAAATTAAGCTTGCATCTTCTGAGCATGTGCACATTGCATTCTGGGAAAGAAACTTATGCTTGCATTTACTGAGCATGTGTACATTGCATTCTGGGAAAGAAAATTAAGCTTGCATCTTCTGAGCATGTGCACATTGCATTCTGGGAAAGAAACTTAAGCTTGCATTTACTGAGCATATGTACATTGCATTCTGGGAAAGAAAATTAAGCTTGCATCTTCTGAGTATGTGCACATTGCATTCTGGGAAAAAAACTTAAGCTTGCATTTACTGAGCATGTGTACATTGCATTCTGGGAAAGAAACTTATGCTTGCATTTACTGGGCATGTGTACATTGCATTCTGGGAAAGAAAGTTAAGTTTGCATTTACTGATCATATGTACATTGCATTCTGGGAAAGAAACTTAAGCTTGCATTTACTGGGCATGTGTAAATTGCATTCTGGGAAAAACTTATGCTTGCATTTACTGAGCATATGTACATTACATTCTGGGAAAGAAAGTTAAGCTTGCATTTACTGGGCATGTGTACATTGCATTCTGGGAAAGAAACTTAAAATTGCATTTACTGAGCATGTGTACATTGCATTCTGGGAAAGAAACTTATGCTTGCATTTACTGAGCATATGTACATTGCATTCTGGGAAAGAAACTTAAAATTGCATTTACTGAGCATGTGTACATTGCATTCTGGGAAAGAAACTTAAGCTTGCATTACTTAACAAGTTACTGAGCATGTGAACATTGCATTCTGGGAAACTCATCGGAGGTGGAGACCACATGCTGATTGCATTGAGACATTATGAAAGCCTTTGTATTAGGTCAATTATATAGCTAGAAAAGGGGTTTAAAGATAAAGGTACTAGATATGACTGAGCTATAGTCATCCCTCATATCTTACAGACTTGCAATAAACTTAGGAAAAGTAAGAGCCATGTGTACTTAAGACGATAGTGCACCTTAAAAGCAATTTAAGAGAATAACTCCATCAAAATAAAACACTAATAATTGCCACTAAAAATGTGATCAGAATTGTTCTCTCAAACAACACTACGTGACAATATAGATAAAAGGAGACCCTATCAATGCAAGCAAGCATAAAATTATATTATGCAACACACTATAAAGACTATATTACTACATTTTCAGATGACGCTTATAAACCATTTAATATGGCCAGGGGTTTGTTCGATAATCCACCATGTGGTACACATCGCCTGGGCCCAGAATTCTCTGGAGGCTGCCTTACTTGCATTTGATTCCCATGTGACAACATGACAGCGCTGTTTTACCATCCCCGCTCACAGTGCAGAGGAACTCATATTTAATACAGAGAATGAATTAATGCAGTACTACGTTGTCAAGGAACAGTAATGCAGTGAAGTTTTATACATTTTACAGTTTCAGTTTGGTCACGTCCCCCTTTTGTTGCTGATTGAGTTTCACTGCTACAGAAAACTCCTTCCAGTTTTCAAACATTTGAGATCACCTAGGCTATCTTAAAACAGATTAAGAAACGGAAATTAAAGAGGTTTAGGGTGAATTAAAGATTATATGTCATTTTCTTTATACTTTTACTATTACAATTGTCAGGATACCAAAAAATGTATTGTATAATGTTGAGGAGTATTTTTCAAGTCTGAAATAGTTAAAATTTTTGCATTATTTTTTTTGCATTTCCTGACTTGTGATAGGTTACATAGAAATAAAAATAAGTAATATATTATTATGGACATGTATCCTAATGTACTGAAAAATATTTTTAAAAAATGACATTTAATTTAATGAGTTGCTATTTTTATAATAATGTTCCATTACTGAATTTGTTAGTAGTAATATTAGTGTATGTGCTTACGTAAATTATAGTCTATGGTCAAAAGTAATTTTTTACTAAAGCAGTATGAAATTGTTGGTGTATGTGCATTTTTGTTAGAGCGAATATGCACGCAAGCATGTACAATGGGATGTTCTTACCCATAATGCACTTCTAATGTGCAATGATATACTCACTATTGAAAAATTTGAATTCAGCTCAGGAGTAAAATACATTGTTTACACGTATTCGAATATGTGCTGCACGAGGACTGTAGCACCTATAATTGTTTACGAGTATTCAAACATTTGCTGCACGAAGACTGCAGCACCTAAAATTGTTTACGAGTATTCAAACATTTGCTGCATGAAGACTGCAGCACCTGAAATTGTTTACGAGTATTCAAACATTTGCTGCACGAAGACTGCAGCACCTGAAATTGTTTACGAGTATTCAAACATTTGCTGCATGAAGACTGCAGCACCTAAAATTGTTTACGAGTATTCAAACATTTGCTGCACGAAGACTGCAGCACCTAAAATTGTTTACGAGTATTCAAACATTTGCTGCACGAAGACTGTAGCACCTAAAATTGTTTACGAGTATTCAAACATTTGCTGCATGAAGACTGCAGCACCTGAAATTGTTTACGAGTATTCAAACATTTGCTGCACGAAGACTGCAGCACCTAAAATTGTTTACGAGTATTCAAACATTTGCTGCATGAAGACTGCAGCACCTGAAATTGTTTACGAGTATTCAAACATTTGCTGCATGAAGACTGCAGCACCTGAAATTGTTTACGAGTATTCAAACATTTGCTGCACGAAGACTGCAGCACCTGAAATTGTTTACGAGTATTCAAACATTTGCTGCACGAAGACTGCAGCACCTAAAATTGTTTACGAGTATTCAAACATTTGCTGCACGAGGACTGCAGCACCTAAAATTGTTTACGAGTATTCAAACATTTGCTGCGCGAGGACTGTAGCACCTAAAAGGCATGTCTGATAAGGATGCTAAAAAGTAGAGTAAAAACAGCATTTGTGATTCTTTTGGTTGCACAGATTACATCTGTTTGCACTTGTGCACTTAGTCTCTATAACAGCACACTTATAACAAGATTAAATCAAATCTGCCATAGAAATGCTTAAGACCGTCATTAAATGGCAATAAAAAAGGCAGGCATACTTACTTTAAAACTCAACAAAACATGATTTACAAAAAACAGTTACGGATCATTATTTTAAAGTTTAAGGGGATGTTCATCGATAAAGGGCCGTGTAATTTACATTAAAAGTATCCACTTTGTATTTGTTCTCTCTGACCAATCAGGTGCAGAATTTATGTCCATGACTTATAGCCTACTTTGACAGTTGATGACCGACAAACTGATTTTGTTACTGTGAAACAGCTTTTGCTGACAGAATTCCAATTAACTTGTAACATGCAGATGTATCAACAGTTTCTAGAGGTACGAGGTTACTGGTTCATTTTAAACGTTTGACGTTAAAATAAAATAAGGTACAACCAATACGTAAATTAGACTACATAATATGCACAGATTCATACCTAAAACAGATCTCTAGATAGGTGGTGAATTTGATCCAATTTAGGAGCAGGGATAGTTGTACTGGTTCTTTAAAAACTTTTGTTGTTTAAAAAAGACTACAGTCTATGGCTAAAATACAGTGAATAGCCAATATGCAAACTAGGCTAATTAATATGCACAGCCAGAGCTCCAATGTTACATGCTTTAGGCTTTAAGTTTGATCTGTTACAAATGCAGAATTATTTGCATTTTAGTTCCTTTGACAAATTTATTGATTAAACATAAAAAAATTAAAAAGAATAACTAATAAGTGAAATAAGCTTATTAATACGCACAGTGGTGCTTCAACTGAACTGAACAGGCATTTTAAGAACAACTACAACTTGTTTTTAAGTGATATGCAAATTATGTAGGTATGAATTTGTGGGGGAAAAAACGTCTCTTGCATTGCGTTGATGAACTTTGAGGTCTGGAATAAGAACTATGCTTGGACAGAAAGACAAGTGAACCGACAAGTGGTCGTCCAGCACAACCTATGTAATAATTCTTTGTACATGATCATATTCGCATTTTTATAAATATCAGACACAGTCAAAATACTGTGAAAAAAAACAACAACCACACCTTCTATACAAGTTTCTGCATCATTACATTCAATTGGATAAATTATGGAGTCTTTTCTCGCACACACAAAATTCTTTTACAAAAACAACGCTATAGACTATGTCAACAGCGAAGAAAAGGCTATTAGGGCACAATTTCAAACGGCCAGATGTTTTGACTGCATAAAACAACATTGATCCCGATAAAAACACAGCCAATCATTGAAGCAAGCTGACAACCAAGCAGAGAAGGGTCAAAAATGTGCCCGGTTGCCACTAATCTTTCTTTGATTGGGCAGCCCACTTCATCTTGTTGGACAGGCCATTCTTCAAACACAATAATGCCCAAGACAAAGACAGTGTAAAAGCTAGTCAAGCATGACAAAACTTACCTGTATATAAACTGGTGTGTATCGATCAAAAAAAAAATAACTCTTTGTGGCAGCTTGGTTCAATTTACCATGCAACATCAATCGATGAGGTCTTCATTAACGGGGATAGTTTTTCTCCCTTGAAAACTACAAAAGAAGAACATTTATAATGAATAAAACTTGACTTTGATTAAGTGGATATATAGATACATTGTCAATATGTGATTTTCAGAATGCCATACATCCAGCCTTGGAAAAGATGAAAAGTATGTTTAACAAAATGTTTGCATCAAAGGAAAAACAAAGATATACACTGGACGTTATGTGACAGGGCTGAGGGACAATTTTCCTAACTTACTGACACTGTAATGACAAGTTAGTAAGCAAACCCAGAGTCAACCACGGTCAAACACCTGAACCACCTTCATCCAGGTTTCTTTAATATGAAGCATCCATTACTGAATATGTAGCTAATTTGCATAAAATTAAAATATGTCAATCAATTTTGTGTATTCATTGTTATGGTAAATGAACTATATCTCTAACTATAGATTATGGAGCTGAGAGTTGAACTAGGCAAAATTTTCCAGACTAGCTAAATTGATTATAAATTGCCTTCATTAAAAATAATTCGGTTTCAGCAGTATGTGTTCAATTACACACTCAGAAAATATTGTGCTATATATCAAAAAAGTTGAGCCATTATCTACTCATGAATATGCATAAGGTAATGATTCAGACAAATAAACAGTACTCAAAAACTGGAATAGTAACAGAATAATTTCATAACTGACGTTGAAATAATAAGTTAATTTTACTGTGGTTCATAACAAATCACTGAAAAGTAGATAAAAATGCGTTTATCATCAGTGAATACTGAGTTTCATATGTTTTACACGCTGTATAGTGCTATAGGATTACATCAACATCAAATAATTGTGACAAAAGCTATATCCATTAATTTTTTTATTGAATCATATTTTGTGAAAGACATTTTTTCCCGCCAACATTTTGCACATTTTTATATTAATTTTGGACCAAAAGAACCATAATTTTCCATTGTTTACAGGTCTTGATACATGTTTGAAGAAGAAAAATGCAGAAAAAAATATTTTTAAAGTTTAATTTGTGAAAATTTACAAGACTTATAAATTCTAATCCAGTTGATGTATCACATCACAATGTAATCCACTTCATTTTGAAAACAACTTTCTGCAAGGAATGGCATGGTTGAATTTCAGACTGTTTTATTTGATATGATACTACAATAACTATGTTTTAGATTTGTGTGGGCAATTTTAGCGAAAAGAAACTTGTTGCCATGTCAACATTTAGTATTGGTAATTCCGGTTTCATCTTTTGATCTGTGATGCAACTCTTTTCAATTTTTAAAAATTGCGTAGTTGAATCACTGGCTCTAAGGGGAATTAAATGTAGCATAATGCCTGTATAACATGCAATATCAAACAAAAATCACTGAACAAATAAAACTCATAAAAACACAGACATGAAAAAAGCAGCAGGACTTTTGTGCGTCTACTTGTCATATTAGTAGCACCACACATGGAGCACTGACCTATTCTCTGTGTGATCCCGAGGAGTGCAAGAAAGACTCAAAATGGTGCAGCAGACATTACGAATCACAATTATAATTCATCTCCCCTATCTAATGATGATCTGTTTGAAGATTGAAAATTTCTTATCAACACAGACACAGCTGGTAGTAGGAAAAACCCTACTGCCCAACCATAGGAAGTGATGACATCATCAGCAGCAGCTGAATAATTAACAAGGTTTGTGATTGGCTAGATTGTCAGGAAACACTGGGCAACCAATGGGAGCTCATGAAACCAGAGACACACAAATGCCAGTGGATAAGTAAACATATGAGCAAAATATTTGACTAAGGATGACCTTCGAGACCACCACCCACACTTCTGCTGAAATAAATCCAGCACTTCAACACCACAGGAATTCCTGTGATTTCCTCTTGTACTTTGTTTTATTGTCAGGTAGTCTTTTAGGTCAGAAATATGGCACCACACACAACTCTTATGCATGAGAAATCAATTTGTTAAGAGGTATACATTTTAGGAAAACAGGAATTAGGTGCTACAATAGGTATTATCTCAATAAATATTTCTCATTTTCTGAATTATTTTCTCTTTCAAAACACACTCTATTGAACAGAAAGACTCAAGTGTCATAGTTTCCACAATCCAAAGCAAACATGTATTACATGTGCTGTTCCTACTAGAAATTCTGCTGTTACTCCTAATGATTTAATAATTTGTCCCAATTTTTTAGGACAAAATGCCATAAAAGTCACTATGACTTAATACAGCGACTTAAAGATCTCAATGAAATAGTGACTGCTTAAGGAAGGAATTTTGTGGTTTCACTAAATCATTAGTTTGTATGTGTAAATATCTCACAAATTTAAAGCAGTTTACAGCATATACTTCAGGTCAAGTAAATGCAAGAAATATGCACGTTTGTCATTTTCATTTTACCGTGAATAAATCATACTACATCAACATTTTTTAATACACAAAATGATTGTGCAGCAAGTATTCAAATTTTGTGAAAACTAACAATGTATTTTACACACATTACACGGGCATTTGTATTACACATACAAACAATGTCTTCTAAACATATTGTATATAGGTACGTCATGTGGGACTGGTATCGAACATAACAAATCACAATGAATAGAGCCTTTAAATATGTTTATCTGCAGTCAGTGAAAACACAGTCATGCTTCTCCAATTTATCTATAAACATACCCAAAGTTGAATGACAGAATATTCTAGAGATACTAACAATTGTCATAAGTTCACAGGTCAAATCAATAAGACCCCCCCACCCCCCCAAAAAAAAACAATGTTAATGATTGATCACATAAGTTGTTCTCTGTATTTCTCAATTGCAATTTAGTTGTAAATACCCGGCCTACGCATTCAATTTAGAATCAATATACATTTGCGAAAGCGTTTTACGATAATAGACTAATTCTAAACCAGGTTTCTCAATCACGTTTCCATGGTATCTGACACAAACATTGTCACACGAGTACGTAATACACTCCAGCATTTTAACGTCTTTAATTGCTTGCTTTACTTTTCCAAGCCTTAGCGACAGTTTATGCATTAATGATTCACTTTCATATGTAAATGATTGTCGGTTTGTTTCATGAACCGTTCAATGTATCATATAGTAATGTTTTTGTTACTTGTTGAAAAATGATAAACACACACATTTTACTCAATTGCATCAAAATTCTCCCATCAAGTCTTGAGTAACTCATCCAGCATAATCAACAACATGATGCTCTTGCGCTAAAGCAGTCATTCTCTGGGACCGTTTTGTGCAAACATACTGTAAAACGTGTCTTTTTCGAGAGCATGTCTTTTTAGCGAAAGAACTAATTCGCTAATTTAAGATGTCGCCAATGATTTCATTATAAATTCAAAATGGCGGCCAAACAACTTTTTCTCCGCACACACACTTTGTAAACAACACAAAAAACGTAATAATCTGGAGTGCTTCCTTATTACACTTGACAGTTTTTCTTTATATTTATGGAGGTGATAACTGCGCATTTGTTTTGGCACGCGACAGACAAGTTTTGTGAAAACAGGAAATCAATGAAGACAAGAGAGATTCGCTAAATTAACATTTCGCTATTACGTCATTTTACCATAATTTGCTAAAATAGTATGTCGCTTTTTTCAACATGTTTTACAATAGTCCATCATGAATTGTTACCCCATTGTAATTGTAGTTTGTTGAGAAGCGTTACTGTGACTTTAGGTTTAAAACAGATTAAAACTATAATGATTTCAGAAATCACTGTGAAAGTTTGTACTTATTTGTATGTCCTATGATATGAAGATCAATTTCTTTTCATTCAGCAGAGGCGGCTCAGAGTTGAATATCTTTCACACTACGCTGATTTAGTTACATCTATATTATACAGCACATTAAATAGACCTCAATTCAAATTGTTGGTTTTCAAGACAATATATCAGACATGTTAATACAAGTTTACTTTGTAGTTTTTAGGTCAATGTATACTGAATTTTTTTTAATGGATGGGCAATTTGTCTGAAGGGTGAGGGCAATGAGTAAAATTAAATGGGACAGTTTTTCAGTAAAGTGGTTGAAGACCTGACCATGTGCGTGCAGGTAACTATTATCTACATGGAAACACTACAATCTACATGGAAACACAAACATTCATCATGCTTCTCTACCTACATGACACCCCCTCCAAATCTACAATGTACTGACCCTAGTTTTTTTTTCTCTTCAAATAAGAAATTTTAAAAAAACATCATCAATGTTACCGAATCCCATTTATTCTTAATGTTGAGTTATTGGTTGTAAAACCTTTTTTTCTTCTTCACATATCTCCTTCTAGACGTTATCCCTAAATGTCAAAATCCGGGTGGTTTAGCACATTTGTGGGCTGTTGCCATTGACAACCGTCTCTGCCATTCAGTAGACACAAAGAAAAAAGTCTCTCAAGTCTCTTCAAAATGCCCAATGAACTGAAAACTGAACAATGTATAAAGTGCTCTCTCAAAGAACAGGAAAGGAGCTTTTCTTTTTAATAATGTCACAGTCACTAATTCCCACAAAGCTGAGAATTTGTGATGTTTAAATCTGATAAAATAATCAGGTCTTTTATTCCCTAGCATGTATGTTAGCGCAAAGGTATAATGTTGTTAATTTTTAGAAGGAAAGATAAAACAAACCATCTTGCACCTGAAAACAAAATATTTGTCCAGTAACTGACTATATTTTAAAGCAGTGTCAATGGGGTCTTTAAAAGATCTTAGTACCAAGTATGAGCCAGATATGGGTCCTATGAGAACAAGATTTATAGTAACATTTATCGTAAAGCAATAAACACACATACACAGAAACAACTTTGAGTGTTGCACAGATCAGAGAGTACAAGACAGGTTCATATTGGGAAATTACGATCAACTGTGTTCCCCCAACCACCATCAACACTGCCCTCCATTTTGCACATATCAAAACCTGCGTGTGAACTTGACACCATATTGTAATACTAATAGAAAGCAGTGGGTTGTGGGAAAATCAAT